GGGTTATATGGTATAATAACGATTGTAATGTCCTCATCTATTAATTTGATCGGAGCCCTGGTGGTGCAGTGGTTAAGAGCTCAGCTGCTAACCAAAAGGTCAGCAGTTCCAATCCACCAGCCATTCCTTGGAAACCCTATGGGGCGGTTCTACTCTACCCTATAGGGTTGCTATGAGTCAGAATCGACTCGACGGCAATGGGTTTGGTTTTTTTGGTTTTATTAGTTTTCTCATCTGTGACATTTTAGAGTCAGTTTTTATTGAGGGTTTTTGTGTTCAAGTTTATGAGAGGTATTGGTCTGAAATTTTTATTTTTACTTTTGCACTGTGTCTTTGTCTGGTTTTTATATCAGGGTAATAACTGGCTTCATAAAATGAGTTGGGAGATGTCCCCTCCTTTTCTGTTTTCTAGAAGAGACTGTGTAAAATTGGTGTTAATTCTTTAAATGTTTGAAGTAAAAGCATCTGGGCCTGGAGATTACTTTCTGGGGAGTTTTTAAATTTTGAATATTATTTGTTTAATGTTTATAGGACTATTCGTATTTTCTGTTTCATATTGATTGTGGTTTGATAGTTTGTGGTTTTTGAGGAATTCATTCACGTCATCTAAGTATTCATATTTATGTGTGTAGAGTTTTTTTTTTTTTACTTTTCAGATATTGCATTTCGAAAAAAAATAATTGTGCTTTAGGTGAAAGTTTACAGCACAAATTAGTTTCTCATTCAAAAATTTATATAGAATTTTTTTGTGACATTGGTTGCACTCTCCCCCTTTCCCTTTCCACCCTGGGTTCCCCGTCTCCATTCCTCCAGCTTTCCTGTCCTTTCCTGCCTTCTCATCTTTGGTTTTGGGCAGATGTTGCCCATTTGGTCTCATAATCTTGATTGAACTAAGAAGCACGTTCCTCAGGTGTATTATTGTTTATTTTATAGGCCTGTCTAATCTTTGGCTGAAAGGTGGACTTCGGGAGTGGCTTCGGTTCTGAGTTAGCAGTGTGTCCAGGGGCCGTAGTCTCGGGGGTTGTGCGTAGAGGTTTTTGTAGTGTTCTCTTTTTTATCTGTGGAAGCTAAAAACAGGATGGAGACAGTTATGCCAAACCCAGAGAACATGGCCATTGCCTGGCTTCTCAGGGCAAAAGTTTAAGATAACACATAACCTAAACTTTGGAGGTAATAACTAGCTTGTTTCTTTAGATGCATGTGTAAACGACATCCTGAGTCTTTGGGCCCTACATTCCAGACCAACAGGCGCCTAGCCATCTGGAAACCTGTGCCGGCAGGTACTGAGGACCTGGAAACCTGCATCATTCTTCTTAGCAAAACTGACATTTCTAAAGAAGAAAGGATTTCAAGGGACATTTCGAATGAATAGCTGCAAGACTGATTGAAACCACCTGGACTTC